GTTTGATTTATTCTATCTTGTGTATTAATAAATTTAATAATCGAGATTCAATGATAATATAATATAATAACATATAAAAAATACATACATATAGTTTTCCATAAATTATTCTAGCATCAATAAAAAATACTATTCAATACTAACCTGATGATTGAAGATTGAATATGGCCCATTCTTTCGGATTAATTTTGAATTCTGCAGTGGTCTCTTTGGTATTCATCCAATATTTCGGAATTGTGTTACTAAAATCTGGGTTACTCTGTGTGGCAAATGTGAGTGGAACGTACCAAGTGACATTCGTCGAAGTCTTATCTAAGTTCCTCAAGAGGAAGCGTTCTTGACTAAGATTTACTACACCGTCGTCATTAATGTTAACTGACACAACAGGATATCCGGATTGCGTAGTCCAAGAGTCCATTATTGATTTTACAGAAATATCTGATGTTGAATGTTCGACATCTATTTGTTTTTGTATTTCCTTCCATAAAGCATCTGGATTACCCAGTCCTTTCCTTTTGCTAGAAGATATATCATATTTGTATAATATAATTTCATAACATAATATCATTTCATAACATTGAGAGAAATAGACATGTATTCTGCATAGATATTAGTAATTTATAATATCTGAAATTATAATAGCTTAAATTTATGTATTGTATTTATGACAAGGTCATTATAAACAATTTATTCTTTTATCATTATAATGTATGCAAAATCCGTTTGCAATATAATGTATGCAAAATCTATTTGCAGTTAACTTGAAATAAGATATGATACTGCTTCTTAACATGTTATAGTATATAATAATAAAATAATAAAAATCAATAATAAAAATAATAAAAATATCGATCGTTTGTATATATTTTAATTAAAATTATATGTTATATAATATATTAATAAAATTTAATTTACTTTCTTTCTAATTTTGTAATATAGCATTAATTAATATAGTATAATATTAATTGTTTTTACAAGTTACGTAATTTATCGTATTGTCTTTAAAGCTTATTATATCTTATTTTCAAGCAAATTAATTAACTACTAATTAACTACTTTAAAAATATATATAATTATATATATATGTGTGTGTGTATATACATAAATAATATTAATTATAACATAAATTAGTATGTAATATTTACTTCTTGTTCAAATAGTTTTGCAATGCGGCCATAAAGACCTCGTCACTGAATACAAGATTCATCATACGAACAACACTGCCTCCTTTCGCATAAGTAATTTGATCACTTGCTCCTGTGATATCTGAACTACTAGAAATCTCTCGAGTCATTGGAAGAGAAGATTCAACAGCATCAATTATTAATGCAACTTGATGTTGATCTACGACAAACTGTTCCTTCAGATTCCACTTTTTCTCGATCTACAACAAAATAGAAATATTAAATAATAAAAAATATTCATTAATATTTATAATATTTAATTTTGTACAAATATAAGATAAAGATTATCATCTTGAAAATATTTTGTCCGTATAACATTCTTTTTATATATTTCTGAGTATTGCTAACGTAAAACTAAAAGTCACTAATATTTATGTAATACATAATTACCTAAAATGTGCAAAATTAAAATTATATAAAAAATTATTCAGACTAAATATATAAGTATAAATTTTTTTCATTTCACAATTATATTTTGTATTTTATCTATGCTTGACAGTCAAAGAAGTTTAAATCTCATTCTCATACCTCCGCAGTAACATGATACTCAAAGTATGTGGCGAACGCTTCACTGAGCCAAAGGCAACTCCACCATTCTGGGGTAATTAAATTTCCAAACCACATATGCGTAAGTTCATGAGCAACTGTAATAGCCATCCACTGTTGGTCTACCGCAGACGATTCTTTTTCATCGTATAACATTGCAGTCTCGCGATATGTCACCAATCCCCAGTTTTCCATAGCTCCTGCATCAAAGTCGGGTACGGCTACCATATCCATTTTAGGGAGAAAATAATTTAGTTGGAATTTATTATTAAGCACATCAAGAACTGTAACGCCAAGATCCAAAGAGTATTTGGCTTGATTTAAGGCAGATGGTCTGGCCCACACTCTAAAATTATCTACTTTGAGAGACTCAAATTCCGAAACGATGAAGGCCACCGTGTAAGTAGACATTGGGATGGTTTCCTTAAAAACATCCCAGACCTTGCCTCCCGGTGCTCTTAAAAACAAATATGTTGTAAGAAAACATTAGAAGAAAAAAGATAAATGTACAGTATAACGCTCTTTTCTCTAATTTCTCGAAGAAGAATCTTCGGTCCCGTTTTTTTTATTAATTTCCAAGTTATTTGATATCAATCCAAAAAGAATGAAAAAAATTAATAAATTTTTAATCACAAACTATTGTCTGCTATAATTTAAATTATATAAGAAGATAACTTGTGTATTTAAATAATTCAAGCATAGAATATGGTAAATATGCAGCCATAAATTATCATTAAATTATCATGGAAAAATCGATGAAGAAAGCGTCATATATTTACCAAAAGAGTTCATGCAAAAATGAACTCAATATGAACAATATCACATATAGATTTCCCTAATATTTACCGTACAGATTTATCTAGCGGCATGTTACTCAAGCAGTGGTAACTTTCGTCTCTTGCTATATGAAATTTGAATTTAGCCTTAAAACCTGGCTCATCAAAACATGGAAAGGCATGTCTCGCATATATCGCTTCGAATTGTGTCGCAGCTAACCATCTATAGTTTAATAAATAAAGATGTACGTTACAAATTGCCATAATATTTAATAGAAATGACAATAGAAATAACAATATTTTTAAATATTTGATTTCGGTCGCATTAAAATATAAAATAAAATAAAAATAATTGCATTACTTACTTAATCTGTCCGTTCTTATCGAAATAAGAACTCTTATAGAATCCGAGCGAGTTGTCGGTTAAGATTCCACTGTACTTAAAGTTAATCAGTATAATTCTGCCTTTTTTAAATGGTTTTGGGCTAGTAATAGTGTACTTCTCAGTAACATTGTCATATTTATAAGAAAATCTTTTGTTATTACGTGAGCATATAAATACTGATTCAATTTTAATATTTCCCACATGCAACGTAACACGGTTAGTTGTGCGCTTTACCAATGCTTTAATTGTTGTATAACCCTCAAATTTAAAATCATCTTTTAATTTCGGGATCAGCTTAATATCATATGAAATGGGTTTGATAGCTGTTGGTAATCTGTAGTCGATAGAATTATCATCTTGTTTAAAATTCGCAGTTTGGATTACAGCATCTGGAAAATATTATAAAATTACCTCGAAGCTATATATATTTAAAAAATATTACTATGCAAGGAAATACTTGGGAATAAATTGGAAGAAGAGGTGGAGGAAAGAGAATTAGTGGCCGTAAGTCAGGCTGGATTTTGGAAGCGATAGACAATGTTTTTGTACTGTATCATATAATACAAAAAATAAAAAAAGAAAAGGACAAGGAGGAAGAGATGAAAAGACATATGCACTTGCAGACTGTTTGGAAGTGGTTTTTGACAATGTGGACAGAAATACATTATGAAATATAATGAGGAGGAGAGGAAAAAAGAACAGAATAAAGAATAAAGATAAGATAAAGGAACAGATAGTAAAAGAGTGTGAGGAGACAGAAGTAAGGATACAGAACAAAACAAGGGTTTTCAAAAGGATTCTTTACTAGGAAAGGTGTACGACAAGGCTATATAATAAGTTCATTCTTAATTTATATATGGCGGATATAGATAAGATATTTAGAAAAAGAAGAATAGAAGGAAAAGATATAGGAAAAAGCTGTGGAAAAGCGTACGCGGATGATATTGTTTTATGTGATGCAATGACGAACATGATGGATGGTTTTGAAAGAGCGAAGATTAGAATTAAGCGTAGATAAGACAGAAATGATGATATTTAATAAAACAGGAAGGGAAAAGAAGGAAGTGGAAATGGAAATAATAAATTTATTGAAGAAGTACAGACATTCAAATATTTAGATTTTACTGAATGGGAAAAGAAATTATGAAAATCATGTGATGAAATATACTAGGAAAAGGAAGAAATATAGTAGGAAGGAAGAAATATGATAGGAAAAGGAAGAGCTGCTAGAAAAGTATAGGATATAGCAGAGACATTATGTAGGAATAATTTTGCAAGAAGATAAACATTATACAAATATCTGTACAAAATGTGATGGCTTACGGGATAGAAATATGGGACTGGAAAGAGAAGGAAGAATTGGAGAAGGTAATGATTGATTATGTCGGATGGATTTTTTTAGATTTTTGCACATCGAGATATATGATATATAGGGAATTAGCTATGAACAAAATGAAGATGGATTGGGATCTGAGGGCAAGAAAATATGAGGAAGGAATTAAAAGAAAAAAAGAGGAAAGTTACGTAAAAATATGTTGATAGGAAAATGTAGCATATAGGTAGAGAGATCAAAAAGGAAAGGGAAAAGTATTATAATAGGAACACATGGATGAAACATAGAGGCTATTGAAAAGTTTAATAATGAGAACTATGAAGAGAAATTGATCAGAAGTTTAAAGAAAATTAAAGATTGGTAGAGATAAATAGCAACAAAGAAGCGATCTTGAAAAGAATATGGGGAAAAGAGCTAAACTGAACAAAAGGAAATGTTTTAAGGAAAATATGCAAGGAAAGAGAAAAAGAATGTAGAAAGAAAAATGAAAAGGACTGTGATAAATGAGCTGTGATAGATTTAAATAAGTAAATAAGTATTAAACGTAAAATAGGAAGAATAAGTGATATTTTTTTGAAAACGAGCGAAAAATGAAATAAAAGAACTTATAGTAAGAATTAAGAATAGAGTAAGCTAGATAATAAGGTATGGAAGGATGAAAGAGAAGTAGTTTTCTTGTAAATCAAGTCCCCTTCTTAGCTGTATGGCTGAAATAGAAATAAATTCTATACAACAAAATAATTTATTCAAAAAGAATGATTTTCAAGCAAATTGATTATACAATTCTATATAAGTATTAATACATTTCTATCTAAAGATATAGATTTCTTTCAGCAATTATTAAATATGTAAAATTTTATATTATTGCCAAGATTAAATTTAATTTCTTAATAATATGTAAAACCTTATAAATTGTATGTATTATCTAATAATAGTTATAAACATTTATTTTATAATTAAACAAAACGTTTTTTTTTCTTAAAAATATTTAAAAATATTTAATTTTCTTATTTTATATTATTACATATATTTAATCTTTTTTCTAAATATTTTTTTAATTAAATAGATATAAATATAAATAAACTTACCATCAGGAAAAAAAGGTTTGTCTGCTACATTTCCACTGAATAATGTGATTAATGTGCAAAGGAATAAATGTTTTCGTAAGATCTTCATTTGTTAACGATTTTGTACCCTCCAGTAAGTAGTCTCACAAACGACGTGTCAAACCGAAATGCTGAATAGCAAGTGAAATTGAAACAATTGTAACTCATTAATATATAAGACGACACCTGAGAATTCAAAATTGGCAAATATTCACTATCGATAAACAAACATTTAAAGAAAAATAATAAGAAACATCCATCTTATAAGAGTATTTTACAGTTAGTATTTTATATTTAAATGGTTATTTTTAATTGAGTTCAATAATCATATGTCCAAAAATGAATTATGTCTAATCAAGAATAGAGCTATAATTTGATTCTTTATACATATCGATATTTATTATTTATGCTTCATTATTTATTACTTGAGCAACATAAGAGTTTTCAGTACATTTTCAAAAGTCTGTTCCATCAATCGTTAATGTTAGTTTATTAAGAAATATTTTCATTTTAATATGTTTTGCAAAAATTTTTATCAATTTTCGTTTTTTTTTCTCTTTCTTCTGCCATAATTCAAAATGGCTGCAGTCTATAGAAGAACTGAAACAACAATAAATAAATAAATTTAATTAATGAAATAATAGCAAAAGATAAATATAAGATGTAAAGATAAGTTATTAAATTACAAATTATAGTAGATTTATATTATATTTAATTGTGAAATCAATTTTTTATGAAAAATTTGTATAAAATTGAGAAGTATAGAAATTATAAATTAATTAGACATAAAAATTAATTTTCGATTAGTATAATGAACAACTTTAATGATGATCAGATACATGATTTTTTGGATATAATTGAAACTCGTGCAACTTTCCGCTCCTGGATAAATATCCTTCACACGACTGAAAATCCACTGAAGTGGAGAGAAGTCTTGTTGTATAATTAATGCCAGCTGTTCAGCCTGCAACAGCTTTCGTTTTATTCTCAATAAATACAAAGTAAAAATCAGATTAATGTCACAATTTCGTATTCAGTACGTAACATAACTGTTACGTACGATATATGCTATATTACATCGATATTGCTGTGAGTGAGAAATAATAAATTATAATATTGATACATTACTTACTTTTAGTTTGTGTTTATTGAATTAGTATCCTATTTATTTTGCTGTAATGAATTAAAATATTTGATAAATATGTATTGCCCAAAAAGTCATAGTATCAAAATTAAGAAAATATAATAATGTTTCAAAAGTCAGAATTAACAGGACTAAAATATTCGAAATCAGAAATTTCTCAAAATGTTTAGAAATAAATAAAGTTTTAGAAAAACAGAATTTTAAAATAAATTAATAAAATAAATTAAATAAGTTATAGTTTTTCTTCCGCTAATCTTTTTCAGAGAAATTTTAAAATAATGCAGTATAATAATATATATTTATATAAATACATAAACAGATGATGTTATAGACAAAATATAAATTATAATAATCTGCGTGCATATATTTATTAGATAACAATTCAAAATATTGAATTATTATATTCGGATATATATGCAAGGCATTGGAAAGTTTAATTAATGTAGCCGATATGTAACATATATTTTTATTTTATTGAAAACTGTTTGATTTAATTAAAAGAATTTAACAATATAATAACAAGTGCAAAAGTTACATAAAAATTATATAGTACAAATATACAAATATCCGTGTGCACATACGAAGTGAGGCATCTAAAACGGCCTGACATCTGACTAACTCGTATGCTTTTAACAATAGAAACAAAAGTATCAAAAATTATTTGGTTTCGCACATAATGCGATATCAATAATTTTTTTTATAGATGTAGACATAGGGGATATAATAAAAATCAAATTATCTGTTTTTTTTTTTAAACAGAATGATATTTTTTTTTATTTACATTCTGATAGAGCGTTTCAAGACGAATACAATGACTTATAATTGAAAGTCATTCATAATTACACAAGTGTCAACTGTAATAAAAAAATTAATTGTTCCAATACACTCTTCGAAAATTTCACTAATTTGCTTACTTGTGTACTTGCTGCTACAAGTGTTCAAAGTGATGACCCTGAGCTTCGATGCATTTTCTAAAGCGTATCGATAATACTATACGATAAATTTTGTTCGGATTAATTACATCACAAAATCTTCTATACTTCAAAATCTTATATACTCCTCTATGTTTTCTGTAGTTATTAACATTTCTCTATACACTTGTTAATTTTCCCCACAAATAAAAATCTGTAAGTCTTAAATCTGGGGAACGTCATATAAATTTTTTCCGCTTTTGTATAACGCATCTCACAAGACACGCATTTTGATCAAAAGATATAAATTCAAACTAATAGTAAGGACGAATAATGATATGTGCGATTCAATGTGTTTATATGTCTCACCCCTGTATTATACTTACATATGGTATTTTTCAAGATTAATAATTTTTCAATTTTTGTTGCCATTTTATAATGTCAATATACTTAAAATAATTAAAATATGTATTACAGAATATATTAGAAAGAAATAGGAAGGAATGGAAAAAAGAAAAATTAACAAGGGTAGAAGAAAGAAGAAAAGATAAGGAAGGAAGAATAGATTAAAAAGAGGTGTTAGAGAGAAGATCGGAATGGGAGAAAGAAAGGAAAGATGGAGAAGGGATTTAAAAATCTGTTTCTGAAATATATAGCGGGAATAATAAAAAGAGATTTTTGTAATTTTACTTCTATGTAAAATGATATATGTAGAGATTGTTTACGCGCAGGTAATTTTTTGACTGGTCACCATGCAACTACAAAATTTGTATTTTACATCTGTAAAATGTTAATTATATCGTTCCGTATTTCTTTAACATTAATTATTTAATTAATTATTTAATTTATGTTTGTCGAAGATGACTGAAAAACCGAAACGTTTGATTAATGTTTATAAAGGAATTATTATTTTTTTAAATAAATAAATTTTTTTAAATTATTATGCATCATCAATTTCGTTGACTTTTATTAACTGTTAATTCTATATTATAATTTTTTTATACAATTTTCAAGAGTCTTTGCTATATACCTTTTATAATAAATAAACGTCATGAATAAATGTAAAAAAATGTGGAAATATCTAAAGGACTTCGACATCATAGGCTTAACAGAGATATGAGTAGAAGAAATATCTTAAAAAAAAAAATTGGAAATAGGCTATCAAACAAATAGAATTGTATTCCAATAACGAAATGAAACATAAAAAAAGAGCCTAAAAAGGAATCATTATTACGACAAGAAACATATATATAGAAAAAAAGAAAAAGGAGAAAAAAAAGCCAAGAGGATGGACAAAGCAATACGAAGAAGTGACGAAAAAAACAAAAAACGAAACAATTAAACTAAAATTTAAAGGTGTAAAGAATAGAGAATTATAAGTTTGATGCTTAAGTTTGATATTAGATGTTTAGGTTTATTTTAGTTTATTTTATTTAGATTATTTTAGATTTTTAGATTAATATTTAATTTAGTTATTTTATTTTATATTTTTGATATAATTAGTTTTTGCAAATTTTGTTTTGCTTAAAAAATTTAGAATGATTCAGAAAAGTAAAGGCGATTCAAAAATATAACATGTATTATATATAATATGGAATAAGGTAGAGACGATAATGTACTAACACAACACTGATATGGAACAAGTACAAACACAAATACAAGTGTAGAATCAGAAATTATCCAAAGTCGTAAAGCAAGAATTAGAAAATAAATAAATAAATAAAATATATACAATAAAATAAATATTCATATACGCTCCAATTTTTAATGAGCAAATAATGTATAATATATTATATTAACTGTCTAATAAAGACATGTATTTGACAAATAATTATATTATACAAAAACAGAATATGATACAATCCAACTCTAAATTTTAAAAATTTAATAAACAAAACCCATTCCATCTATCTTAAACGTTTAGTTGAAAGTAGCTTAAATTATATAATCTTGCCTGAATATCTAAACTAATAGATTTAAATTCTGATTGAGATAAGATAGAAGCTGTTAAAATATAAGTTTATTAAGAAGCGGTATTATAGTTTTGTAACCATTCAGACATAGGTGGCGAATTAGACTTTTTCCATTCTAATTCATATTTAGCAATCCTTAAGGAAGATTCCAGAGGTTTCTTGATAGATGCAAAGTCCTGTTTATGATTGTTTATGAATTCTTCATATTTGTTAACTAATTGGGGTGTAGAAAGATGTTGCGACACTCCATTGAGAATTGTAGATATTGTTGTCTGGTTGTCTCCATAACTGAAAAAAAAAAATATTATGTTAGATGATCAATTTTTTTATATGCATCTGTTAATATCTACTTAATATCTATTAGCTATTTGCATGACACTTTGCATAAATAAATAAATATACTTTACATACTCATTCATATTTCGTTCATTCACGTTTCACATACGTATATTAACATATATATTAATAGAGTGCTAATATGTTACTTGCTTAAATATGTATTATAAATCTATCAGCTTTTTCTTTTGAATTAATATTAACTATATTATAAAATTAATAATGCATAATAAAGATCACTTACTATTCCTCCATCTTCTTATAATGTTTAGCAACAAAATCAAGCACATATTCTGCCCCAAGCGGTCCAGAGTTATAAACACCTGCGAAGGCAGCCGGACTATCCATCGAACGAATTCGGTTGACTTCAAAATCGGTCAAAGCATATCCCAAATATCTAAGAGAGAGATTGTAAGAAAGAGATTGTAATTAATTTTCAAACAAAATAATTACATAAATAAATATGCAATATTTATCTGTAATGAATATATTATGCTATTATTTCCTTCTGTTCAAATTATAATTATGATTGTACAATCCGATTTTAAAAGTTATTACAAAATGTTTAATATTATAAATCTATTATAAATCTTCTGTTTTAAATACATAAATACATAAATACATAAATATAAATACATTGCTTTTAATTACGTTAATATACATCCAATAAAATGTTAAAAATACTTTCTGATAGCTTATTATTTATAATAAATATTTTTTATAATAAATATATGATCAATTTATTATACTCGTAACTCGTTATTTTGTGTAATAACAGTATTTTCATGTATGAAACATTACCTTTCTAAGATGGTGGTATTCTGAGTGCATCCCAAAGCACCTAGAATCACTATTTGATCCGCTGCAACGTTAGAATTAAAATAGTCTTTCCATAAAAATTCCCAGTCTTCAGAAGTTCCATGTCTTATGGCTGTGCAATATGCAGTGGTTCTCTCATTCGGATTGATACTGTCGAATATTAAATAATATAACTTCAGCTAAACTATAATAATTCATAAATATAATAATTTTTAAAAATATTGTTTTTAGCTACTTTTTATTGTTAATATCCCAAAGACATCGAAATACTTAAACTTTCTATGAAAAAATCGGTAAATGCTAAAAAAATCTGAATATATATATATATATAGAGCTTATATTACTAATTTAAAATACATACATACATATATATATATATATATACA